ATGTCCCCAACATACCCCTATGGGTGAGGCAGCTGGGCAATGGTTGTCTTCCTTGTTGGATGTGCCCTTCCTCCTTTTTGCATCTCCCCTCTGCTATTGTTTCCCTTCCCCTTTTTTGAGAGAGAGAGAGAGAGAGAGAGAGAGAGAGAGAGAGAGAGAGAGAGAGAGAGAGAGAGAGAGAGAGAGAGAGAGAGAGACCCAAATAAAGCTGTTGCAGTGATGAAAAACAGGACTAGGGCTTCTATCCTAGGATCTCTATTCCTACCTTCCCCTCTTTTTATTTTTAGCAGCTCCTGATAGTTTACTTGGGACCAAAAGACTTAAATTTTCCTGGAAAACAAATGAATAAGATAGAGTTAAGGATAGCCATTCACATGGACTGTCTTTTCGGCATTTGTAAATTCTTATCTCTTCCTCTGTAGGTTGAGTAAACAGCAGGGAGATATCCCAGAAGTTGTTGTGTTTATTTTTTTATTCGTATTTGTCAAATGTATATGCATCATTGCTCTTTTTCCCCCCTTCCTTTCAGGTTTTCCCCTGTTGCAAGCCATTAAAATCCTTCAAGAGAAACTGACTGGCTTTCCGGTTCACCTCTCCTCTTTCCAGAAGTCTGCTGTGTATGATTACTTTTTAAACACATTTCTTAAGCATTATTGGCTGTACCAGTTTGTGATGACTCGGGAGAGAGACCGCAATCAGACATTTGCCATTCTTGAGGTCTGTGCTCCCCCCAATCCCCCTCCTTTGAATGAAGGCATAGATATTGAAATGTGGAACTACCAACAACAATTAGCTGTTCTCTGTGCAGCTGAAGAAGAAAAACAGGCCAGTATAATGCATATCCGAGAAAATTTGCATGCAGAGCGGGAAAGTCTGCTCCGGGACGTGTACCAAAGGGTCAGAAGACAAACACAGACCCTTAACACAGAGGTAAATGAAGAATGTAGTATCCTCTAAAGAAGTGGGGAACGATGGCCCTTTTATGACTTGTGGACTTCAACTCCCAGAATTTCTGAGCCAGCATGGGTGGCTCAGGAATTCTGGGAGTTGAAGTCCATAAGTCATAAAAGGGCCATTTCCCCCCACCTCTCTCTAGGATATTGTTAATTTAACACTGTGTATTGTTAAATTATTATTGTTACATATAAGTAATAGGTAGTTGACCACCACTGGATTTCATTTAATCTCTTCTAAGGAACTTTGATTAGGCCTAGCCGTTAAGGTTTCTCAAATTTTAACCAGCAGTTACATTTCAAATGTTGAAAACATGCCATGGGCACTCAGGCTGCCATGAAATGGGGGTCAGGAATTGCCCATTCACAAAGGGAACTCTGGCATGGAGATTATAGATTCTCAAAATAGAAAGGATATCCAGAGGCTCCTTAGTGGGTATCATAGCTGAAAATTCTTTATCTTGGATAATCTAGACTTCTTCTAAGCTATAAAAAATAGAGTGCCTCAGAGTAGAAATGTTCACTAACTCCATTAATGAAATTAGCTAGTGATAACAGGATTGTAAATCAATTATTGCTGTTGAGAAATACAAGGGGAGTTTGAGCATGCTGGGCAAGACCCCAAAACAAGAAAGAAAGAAAGAAAGAAAGAAAGAAAGAAAGAAAGAAAGAAAGAAAGAAAGAAAGAAAGAAAGAAAGAAAGAAAGAAAGAAGAGTCCAAGGTGTATCAGATGCTCAATCATAGTCACAAAATGCTAAGTATTTATTTGCTGAGGATGAATGGGGCATCCTATAAAGGAGCATGCATGAGGTCCCATTTACAGTTTCAAAAACTAAACAAGTCATGCTTAAAGAGCAGATCCTGTGTTTGGTTTTTAGACTGACCCCAAAGAACACGTCAAATGCTTGCCACAAAATAGAAGCCTTTGTTTCTTTGCTCTTGGCATCTCTTCTAGTACCAAAGATGAAGTCAGCCTAGCCCAGGGGTAGGCAACCTTGGCTCTTTTATGACTCGTGGACTTCAACTCATAGCTGATTCAGGAATTCTGGGAGTTGATGTCCATTAGTTATAAAAGAGCCGAGGTTGCCTACCCCTTGCCTAGCCATACTATACCATACCCACAGGTACCCCAATGCACTAAAAGGACAATGCTTCTGAATCAGGGTTGGTTCTTCCAAATTTACCTACCTAACTTTAAAGTTCTGGGATGAGTTTTAAATCACAAATTCTTGGGGTGAGGATTTTAAAGGATTGCTTGAATCCACGTGATTTGGGAGCGGAGGGCCTTAAATGGCTAGTAATAGGTATTTTCATCCTGAATTATCAGGTTTAATCAGAATTAAGCCCTTTTCAGTATTGAACCTGTCTTGGTGTGGGCATTCCTATCAATCTTTTTTTTTTAATCTTTACTGTATTAGCTATAATACTAGATTTTTTAAAAAGTTCTATTTTCAAACATATTATTGAATATGTTTTATGCTGTTGATCTATTATGTTCCTTGTGACACATTTTAAATATGTTTGTGACATGCTCTAAAAGAACTCTAAGCAGCAGCATATAAAAACATTAGAACAAACCAAAATAAATAAATGGATAATTAATATCAGGGAGGCTGAGGGACATCATTCCCATAAGGAAAAGTGCAAATATTTTGGGGACACTTGGTCTTGGGAAACAAATGATACAATAGAGGTTTATAATATGTTTGATTTATACAATGTAATTTTACCCCTTGCAATGAGAACATAGATCAAAGAACACACTTTTTAGCAGAGCTTTTGATTCATCTCTAGATTTATTTCTGCTAGATATGGCAATGGCCAATGGATGCTCTTAAAAGAGAACTATACAAATTTAAAGAATGTGATAAATAGAACATTCAGTGTCAATACCCTTTTGCTGTTGAATACTGTATGGACAGAAGGAAAAAACTGAGAGCTACTATATCTGAATTGTAAAAATCCTAACAGTATAGCAGATAGCAGTAAACAGATATTTCTGTATCTCTTCAATGCCCCACTTACTTTCTTGTTTTGCTTATGATCTTTAAGGAATCTGTCAGGTTTATAAAGTTTAGGACCCTGGATTTGGTGGAGAGCCTTCTATTCTTATGTAACACAAAATTTAATAACAAAAATAGAAACTTTAGGCCTGACTCTTATTTCTAAATTCTTATTCTTGCCCTCAAAATGTTTTCAAAAGCTTTGTCACTCCCTCATTCTCTGTTTCGTCATCTGCTACTCTGCTAATTATACATTGGCAATGTTCCTGCGACATGCTTAACAACCAATAATAGTGTGGCTGCATTCACTTGTTTTTTACTGGCTTAGCATGTCGTGCAAACCCAGTTTGTTTGGCTAGTTAATGCTTCAATATATTGTGCAAAGACAGAACATTAAGCAAGCAACCAGATAAAGCACATGTTGTATGAATCCAATTATTTTATTCATCTGAACAACCAACTAACCCACAAGACCACTTCTCAAGTCAAGAAGAGCTGATTAGCTACCCATAGGAGGACATCATATCATTCCTATGGTCTAGAAAGTGCTGAAGTGGTTGAAGGAAATAATGCAAGTTGAAATCCAACACGCCTGTATGTGTTGAGGGAGAGCAATATGGTTATTTCACTATGGCTCTTAAACTTGCTGTTTGCTTATTGATTACAGTTTGCATTGTTTATTTTGCCCTGAAGATTTCAGAACGTGAAGTTCACACTGTAAATTGACAGCACATCAAGGTTATGACTTAGGTTGCCTCCTCCAAAACATTGTTTCTTCTCTCTCTATCTTTGATTTGCATAATCTATCTCTGACGATTTTATCACGTTCCAGATTAAAAATTCCCACCTGCCTGGGCTTGCTTTTCTGGTTCTTCTCTGCCCTGTAGCGTATTGTTTAGGGAAGTCAGAGGCAATTTTTTTCACTTGTCAGCCCATCTGTGGAGTGAAATGAATGGGCCATTAATGTTATGCATTTGTATTTCATTGAGCTGCCAGCAAAGGCAAGTACATTCAAATGAACGGAGAGAATATCACCTTTTGAACTCAAGTAATGATTGCTGGGATATAATTCCCTAATCATTTTTTTGTTCAATACCATTCTGTATATAGAGAAAAAAAATCCAAATTTTGCTATTCCCAGTTCCTAAATTCAGCCTATCATCACTGAGGTCTTCAAGGTCTGATGGATGTCCTCCAAACTCAACAACTTTTGGAAATTGACTAAAAGAATTCTTTTGACCAGTATCATTCATACATTTTGCCAGCTGCCACCTAGACCTAGATGATATCCTAGGTCCCCACGCTGTTTTGTTGGCTCCTTCCCAGCTTTATAATCAGATTAAAATTATGTTCCCAAGCCCCACCCTTCAGCAGGGGTGTGTGTGTGTGTGTGTGTGTGTATGCATGTGCACATCTATCTAGTCACTGAGGATGTGACTAGATTTCAGCTGGCATATGGACTTCTTCTCATTCCATTGCAATGTATATCGTTGCAATCAATGATTATAGCAACCTGCTGTTATTGAATACCTCTCCTGCTACTCTGCCATGTGGAAACCGAGAAACCCATCTCTTAGTCCTCCTTGGATCTCATGTTTGTGTATGTTCCATTGTAAAACATGCATTTACCACTTCTCTGTTTACCTGTCCATATTACTATTCCTGTTGCTTTAGCATACTTTAATATTTTCCCAGGAAGAAGAATTTTTAAAGAAAATTCACAGCTTCCTATTATTCTTGTTGTGTAATTATAGAAGGATTAAGTGGGGCCCAGACTCATTCTTACAAATAAAGATAACATGGGAGGTTGGTCATTTGATTTTCAGCTGGCATTAACAAAGTATTAACAAAGTTAATGAACAAATAAAATAAAGTTAGGTAGACAGGAAACTTATTCATGTTTTTTCACTAGTAAGTTATAGTATTCTTCAGTCATTGGTGTGCCAATATATGAAAAGAAGCATATGCTGTGTAAACCTCAAAGATAATTAAGCAATGTTATAAAAATATTATATACTCATTAATGAGGAAATGGTCTAGGTCATTTTTACTTTCACCTCACTAAAAGGCTATAAACCAGGGGTGTCAAACTCGCAACGTCACGTGACGTGTCGCAATGTATCGTGACTTTTTTTCCATTGCTGGCAATGGAGTGGGCTACACCCCTGCTATAAGCAATGGATTTAAGAATGTCAGACAACATCCAGCAAAAGGAATTGCTGTCAATATACAATAGTATGACTGCTTCTTTGGCCATATTTTTTTGTTATCTTTTCACAGGGCTTCAGAGAATCCTGTAACTATTTACTAGTTGATGAATTATTAGGGTATGCAAGTAACTGGTATAGAAGTCCATTCTTCTATGCAATGAGGAGATTTCTTTTTCATCTAATCAAAGGTCCAATAAGATTCTAATGATTTAACAAGGCATTATAAATTGCAAGTATTCTCAAATGTTTTCATATTCAAGTCTCTTCAAAAATGCCTTATATGGTATAGTACCAGCTTTTATTGGACAATATTTTGCCATAATTGAATTTGCCTGACCAGTCTGACCATCCAAAGAGAATCTGTTGAGAGTTCCCATTCCTCATAATGGGCACTACACATAGAGTGTGGAATAAATGTTAGGCATTCTGGGGTAGTCTATACTCCCTGTACTGCTCTCCTCATGGAGATCAATATTGGTTTAAGTGTTTTTGTTTTCTGCAATCAAATAAAATTAATACAATTGAAAGAAGCTGTGCTTGACAGGGTAGCATGGAGAACATTTGCCTATAAATTCACCAAGGGTCAGACACGACCAAATGGTTAAAAATACCATTCCAATTTGCCCCAATGGACTATAAATTTCCTCAGAGATAATACTGATTGTATTAGTGGTTTTTGTTTTTACATTATTTTTATACTATTTTTGCACTGTATTTTTCTATGTGTTATTCACCACTCAGTAGAGACCCTCAAGTGATTCTTTAGATGATCACCCAGGATCAGGTAAATTCAACACATTCACATCTATTCAGATTGAAGCAAATTATAATCTTGTTAACCAATCAATCAATAGCCAACCATATTAATTGTTTAATATATCAGAAACTTCAGATATATTAATGTTGTCTTCCAGACACTGATATCTTTAGTCAATGAAGCAATTAAAACTCAGATCCAGAACCTGCATCATATTATTCAACATGAGATCCAGACTACCTTTGAAATCTTGGAATTAAAGCTTGAGAAAAAGGCCTTGATGCTCAGTTCACCTGTTCCATACCCACCTCCATTCTGCCCTGACTTGCGAGGAAAAAAATCAAGCAAATTTCAAAAGAAGACACAGGACAACCCTTTAGAAAATGAAGACAAAATGGAGAAGGACCAAAAGAAGAAAAAGAAATGAAGATTGCTTTGGGGTTCTCTTATTGTGCACCCTTCAATGAGGAAGCAATCCATGCATCTCCTTATAATTGTACTTTTTTATTCCAGGCATTCTAAGTACTTTGCCTCTGATTCTCCAGAGTGATACTACTTCAGACTGGAGGTACGGTTCAGATGTTTGCATTTTAAAAGAAAGGATTCTTTCATTCTGACATATTCAATTTGCTATGCAAGGTACTGTGAATAGATTGAGACACATCATATATCCATTATGTGAAACTTCTACATCGCTTAGTTTAAATAACATAATTTTAAAATAGATTGCCATCTTAGGAGAACAAAACTTGAGTATTTTTACGTACAGAGGATAGAATTAAACAAATAAACTCTAATATTCATATTAGAATCTGAGAATCGGCAAGCATTCCTTAGCAAAGGAATCCAGTAATCTGCTCTGTGCTTCTGTGGTTTTTCTTTCAGCTTTTGCATGAATAGTGCTGCACGTTGGCTGGGGAAATTTATTGAAGTTATGCCATATGCCAAAGTTCTTAAAGCCACATTCTTATAGCCAGCAGCATATACATGCATGTTTAATTGCCTACATTAGGTCAATGGGTTTTGTACACATTGTAATCCTGAATATTCAAGCATCATTTTAAAGTTCAGATAAATATACAATTGGTGGGAGAGGGATAATTTTTATTTATTTTTAAATTTGGATATTTTAAGTCAAAGCAACGGCTATCAAGATACCATTTGCCCCGTTCTCCTGCCAGATACTTCCTCTTTGGGGATCTCTTGGTTTTGATCTTTCATCAACAAATTAAACAGGAATGCAGTTCAGTTTCTGGGTTCCACCCTCCAATAGCTTTTAGGTTTCTCAGTTGCCTTTAGTTTAGGCTAATGCACAGATACTCTAGGAACTTAAGGGAAGATCAACTATTATTTGGGGTCATACACATCACCTAAGCAGATAATGGAATTTCCTTCCTGAAAGAGGCTATAATAACAGGACTAATGTCCTCATTGCTTCAGTGCTCTCCACAACTTGTTGCAGCAATGATAAGCGTCTAAAAATTACTGTAAATTAAAGGAAAAAGCATGGGTGGGAAGAGGACAAAATGTGAAGATATCTGAGATGAAAGACATCCTAGTCTTATGAAACCACATGAAAACAAAATGGCTTTGTCAAAACTACTCTATGCTTGTGCTGCCAATTAATAGTACCCTCTCTGATTTAGAGACTGTTGTCATAGACATGGGACATATTCAGAAGGAAGCATTTTCCTCTAGGAAATTAACTGCTTATTCTACAAGAGGACAGTTATTTACAATGGCATGCTTCATTCAGTCTTCCCTAGCTTATTTCCATTCTAATTTCTATATTCTAGATATACAAAGTGAGACTGCAGAGGTGGAATCTCTTAGCACCTTCTGTAAAGAAATCCTTAGGGCAGTGCCTAACATGGTCTTTCAAAAGTGGAAGGCTATAATGCCACCGTAGAAGGCATATATGGGCCTCCAGAATGTTCTAAAACTTGTCACCAAACTGTAATCCTCAATGTAATAGATGTTATTCAGCCTGTAAAGAGCAATCTTATTAACAGCTTAATTAATATAATTAGCATACTTTTAATTGGATTTAAACTGAATTAGATTTTATCTACTTATATTTTATCACTTAATAGAAGTATAAATATTGTTATTTGCATATAACTTTGAAGTAAAAATAAATTGAATATAATATAGTGAAGAGTATTGTTCTGCTCCCGAAACTGAAGTAAGGTTCAACCACCTGTCCAGTCAGCATGTGTTTGTGAAATAAAGAGAACTGTGGTTTTGTCCATCTCAAGCAGCAAAATGCCTTTTGCCATGTTTGAGAGCTCTATTTTCAGTCTCGGTAAATTACCTTTAAGGAATATGCACCTGAAAGTTGCCTTTATATACTAGTGGTGGTAATAATGATGTATTTCTTACAAGCTGATTTTTATAGTCTTGCTTTATATATATTGTCATTGCCTTCAGCTTATTTTCTGATAAAAGGCAGGTTTATACAGTAAGACGTTGTCTATACAAATACAATTTGATCTGATAGAAAGTTATTTCAGGGATGACTTCTGTCTTAGATACCCTTCCATCGAGTGAAGAAGCAAGCAAAAGGAAATGAGGCATGGGTGTCTGCATTTTTTTTAAAGGCTGCAATCTATGTTGAGTATTCTAGACCCCCACCACTCAAATATGAGGTCTACTATGGGATATGGGACATTGTATTTTCGTCATGTTATTCTTTCAGGGAGCCATCTATATGCTCTCACAGAGAGCAAGAAAGAGACGTTATTTTTCTTGAAGTATAAACAAGTCGTGATTTTCTTAAATATAAAGGTAGCCCCAGGACGCATAACATCCGGTTGGAGGGGCCGGCTACTGTTATCAGTCAGGAAACAGAGCTGGACACATCCTCTCCTAATTCTCAGCAGCCTAAAGCCACCTCCAGTGGCATGATTTGGCAGGAAAAGACAGAGCTGCGTGTCTTACTCCTTCTCCTTTGCACACAGCAGGAGCCTCCCTTTACAGCTCTGGGAAAATGAATCCTTTTCCTCCTCTAACAGATCAGAGTGGGAGAACATTTTTTTCTGCCTGAGAAAGCAGCAGAATTTGTAATATTGGAATGTAAGGTGATACAGGACAGCCTTCCACCACTGGGTACTAAGAAAAAAAAAGTCTCTGAATGGCTCAATACAAAACCCACCTTCCTCCTCCTCCTCCTCCTCCTCATCATCATCATCATCATCATCATCATCATCATCATCATCATCAATTTCCACTCAGGATTTCCAAACATTTATCATTTAAGACAAGCCCATTGAAGGCAGTAACTATTTTTGTTTTAGCAGCTGCCAAAGTTAAATTGAGTGGGAAGAGTCAGACAAAGCAAAGGGAGTTTAGAATTTCCTAGAGTGTAATAGAGTTTAAAAGCAGCCATTAGTGGACTGTGTCATGGAGTGTGTTATGTGTGACTCTTTTTCCTAATGTTGTTTTCCAAGTTAAAATAATGTTTTCACTTTCTCTGAAGGAAGAGACAAATTAAAGGATAAAGTATTTTATTTACGAAAAAGAAGGTTTTATCTTAGTCCAATATTATGATCCCGATCCTAAAGTATTTCTTGATCCCTGCCTTGAATTTCGGGAACAACAGGAGAAGGAACCTAATCATCTATTTTCTGCTATCGCAGCAAAGAAATGGGTAACCCCACTCAGAGAGACCTCTTGGTCTGTCGAGAGCTGCATTTCATATTCCTTCAGAATTAATTGGTTGAGAAATACATTCTAGCACCCCTTTCTCTCTCCTTCTCTGCCATACCAAGCTTTCCCCCAAGGTTAGGTGATGATGCCTAATTTATGTTATGCCTGATGTAGGCGTGGGTGCATATATAAAAAAATACATATTTTCAGACATTTACTGAAATAGTATTTGTTACCATGCTGCCCTGCTTCCTTCATGATATCGCAAGGCATGTTTATAAAATGTGACAAATAATTTTTCCTTCTCTTTTCTAATTGTGACTGTGAAAGGTGTGTGCGTTCACACATACAGATCTCCTTTCACCATAAACAGCAATATCAAGTTAAATAGAAACATGGTCATGGTTTCCGATTGGACTGCAAATTTAGCCTTTTTTTATTGTGCTATCTGTTTTCAAATTTCTCAAGCTCAGTACTATCTAGCTCATCCACTACATCTAGACCAGTGTTCCTCAATTTTGGCAATTTTGGCAACCCAACTCAAGAGTTGAAGTCCACACATTTAAAGTTGCCAAAGTTGAGAAACACTGGTCTAGAAGATTCTTAAGCCTAAGAACCAACCAAATATGGGAAATTGGTAATGAATTCTCCCATCATTAGTTTTGACTTACAAGTGGCTATATCACTGTCACACATCAGTAATATTTTATTAATGTTTCACCAAAGATTGATTTTTTGTCATTTTCAATCAGTTATGCTAATGTTAACCCCCAAAATGATTAAAAACCTGTCTTTTATGTTGAATGACTATGCTGCATGCATTTCATAATTGCTGTAATGTCTTCCCAGATTAATTTCCAGTTTTCTTCATCAGGCTGGTCACTTATCTCTGGACAGGATTCATTTTCTCATTTTGTTTTTAAATGTGGTACTGAAAACAGATTCCAATTTTCAGGAGGGTTATTCATTTCCTAAGTTTAATCGGCTTTATAATTTTTATTAAAGTTAATAAATACTTTTACAGTATTTATTTACTGGCTGATCTCAAAAAGGCTATGCGAAATGAAAACTGGTTATTACTTAGGTAAGAGGCCATCAGTAGATCCTAAAGCTGCTATTTAGTGGGGGTGGGGCTCATTGATAGACACTTGGCTTTGTTTAAGTGAAAGTTAAGTTCTTTCAGACTCTAGGGTTCTATGGAACAGTTTGAAAAGTTCTGTTCTTATTCATCCTATTGTATTAAAACACCATACAAATCCAAGCTGCATTAGCTTTCCCATTTTACTTACCCATGGATTACACGAGACATCATATGGACAGAACTGATACCAAGTATATCAACTGTAGCCCTTTCTTCGGGAATTGCAAAATGTGGGGCTAGGAGCTCCATGTTTTCCATTTTATATGGCCACATCAAGTGTCTTTCCATTGTGCAAAAAGGAAACTAATACTCACTGTTCAATATTGTCCACAAAATGGTAGCATGCCTGCTCCTTGGAGTTTGTACTTTTTTAGAAAAGAAACTTAGGGTAGTTTCCTATCAGGAAGGCTGTAATAATACTGCAGAGAGGAGTAGCCTTTTTCATTATAGGAACTTCAATTCATTCTTCTGATCAGCTGGGAGGCTGTGGGAGATCATCTAAGGATGCAGATACTTCAGTTGAAGAAAGGAGACCAAACCTGTCCAATATCTTTGAGGAACTTGCAGAGAGGGAACTTTAAAGGGGAAAAATGGAAGAATTTCTTCTCACCAAGGTCTTGCATTCCCATTTCCATTCTTATTTTCTTTTCTTTTACCTGAAAACCATACTGCTAAAATCAGTGGTACAATTTTGTACCATCTATCAGACTGGGAGATCAAAAAGTCAAGATGCAAGGCTCCACCTCTTTGTTATGGCCATTGCATGTATATGATAAAAAGAGATACAACTTACTACTTGATAAGATAGAAAAATGTGGGTTAGACAGCATCACCACCAGATGGATTCGTAACTGGCTGACCAACTGCACTCAACATGTGGTCCTCAATAGAACTGCATTTACATGGAGGGAAGTATGCAGTGGGGCACCCCAAGGCTCTGTTTTAGGCCCATTACTCTTCAACATCTTCATCAATGATTTGCATGAGGGGAACTCATCAAATTTGCAGATGACACTAAGCTGGCAGGAATAGCCAACACTCCAGAAGATAGGCTTAAGATACAGAAGGATCTTGACAGACTTGAATATTGAGCGCTATCTAACAAAATAAAATTCAATGGTGAAAAAAGTAAGGTTCTACAATTATTCAAAAACACCCAAATGCACAGGTACAGTATAGCTCAATAGTAGTAACTGTGAGAGGGATCTCGGAGTCCTAGTGGACAATCACTTAAATATGAGCCAGCAGTGTGCTGCAGCTGCCAAAAAAGCCAACACAGTGCTAGGCTGCATTAACAGAGGGATAGAATCAAGATCATGTGAAGTGTTAATACTTTATAATCCCTTGGTAAGGTCACACTTGGAATACTGCATCCAGTTTTGGTCACCATGATATAAAAATGATGTTGAGACTCTAGAAAGAGTGCAGAGAAGAGCAACAAAGATGATTAGGGGACTGGAGGCTATAACTTATAAGGTTGCTGGAATTGGGTATGTCTAGTTTAATGAAAAGAAAGACTAGGGGTGACATGATAGCAGTGTTCCAATATCTCAGGGGCTGCCACAAAGAAGAGGGAGTCACACCATTCTCCAAAGCAACTTACAGCAGGACAAGAAGCAGTGGATGGAAACTAACCAAGGAGAGAAGCAACCTAGAACTAAGGAGAAATTTCCTGACAGTTAGAACAATTAATCAGCAGAACAACCTGCCTTCACAAGTTTTTAAGAAAAGATTGGAGAACCATTTGTCTGAAATTGAATAGGATTTCCTGCTTGAGCAGGGGGTTGGACTAGAAGACCTCCAAGCTCCCTTCCAACAATGTTATTCTATTAAGTACTATCATCTTTGTTCTTCTTCAGAATCTTAGTAATGGATGGAAACTAATCAAGGAGAGAAGCACCCTAGAACGAAGAAGAAATTTCCTGACACTTAGAACAATTAATCAGTGGAACAACTTGCCTCCAGAAGTTGTGAATGCTCCAACACTGGAAGTCTTTAAGAAGAGATACCATTTGTCTGAAATGATATATAGGTTTTCCTGCCTGAGCAAGGGGCTGGACTAGAAGACCTCCAAGGTCCCTTCCAACTCTGTTATTTCTATTTCTATTATTTCTATTCTAAACTTCAAGCACACAGCCATGGCCTTTGCTTTTTTTAACCTTCTCTCTCTGAGCAACCTCAGGATGCTTCAAAGGCTGAACATGTGCTCTGGGGGATATTTTCAAACTCCACCATTCCAAAAAAGGAGAATAGTTTTTTTCCAGTATTAGAATTCTAGAATTCTGGCAAGATGCTGTAGAAGGCAAAGAGAATGGTCTTGAAAGACAGTGGGAAAATCTGTTACCAAGGCAATGATCAGACAAGTAAGGCTTGATCCCATTGCAAGAAACGTAAGAAAACCCCTGAGACAATTGCTAATCCACATAAAGTAATAGAGGAGGGAAACACAAGATTCTATTAATATAGCTGTTCTAATAAAAGTAGTGTTAGACCCACATGGTGCTGGTTTCTTAGTCTGAGCCTTCTTATAGGGCTGACAGTAACTCTCTTTTTTTCTAGCATTTGGGTGAGAACTTGGAGACATTGAATTCTCTGAAGCATTCATTCTTTAAATGAAGAGCTGCCTCTAGTCTTAAGATTGAAATGCTGAATTTAGGGGAAAACATCCCTGATGTCTAGGGAGCTCATATTATGTGGGAAATACAAGGAGCTTTCCAATACATCTCCCAATATGAATCTACAAGGAGCTCAGCCTTTCAAATAAACAAAAATAAGCAATCACAAGGATTCACTTAAATGAATTGAGGGTTGAAGAACAATTCAAAGTCAGGTCTATTTAGGATCACTTAAAGAGTATGACCAAACTAACCCCCAACCCCCAAGCAGCCGTTTTCCAACTCTATCCCTTTATGGAAAAAAAATATGTCTTGTTCTATGCATCATGCTTTCAGGTATACTGAAATTCCAGGTGTTATATATCTTATACCTGGCACCAGCTTCATTTGAATTGTAGTTTGTAAAGTTTACATCAATTGCAGATTATAAATCCAGTGAGCTAGATATAAAGTTATCAGAGAAATTAACTTTAATAAAAGATATTGAAATCTGGGTGAAAATAGTAGATAAATTATCATAGATGGAGTTCCTCCCTTATACTATTGGCTCCGTGTATCTAAACAGATTGACCATCTTTACGTAAAATATTTAAATACAATTCAGCTGAAATTATCAAGCACACAGAGTAACACACAAAATAATTATCTTAACAATTCATGTTTAATTCATTTATTCTTTAATATATATAAAAACATTATTTGTAGATTAAACCACACATTTGAGGAACAAAATTAGAAATGCAGAATGATATAAACTAGCTAATTAATTATTACATTACCATTAAACTGTTAAATAACTGATTAACAAAGAAACAGTTGATTTCCATCAATATAAGGAAGTTCTACCAATAAAAATGAATGGTGAGGAAGGGAATAATCTGTAAAACATACATATATACAGTGCCATTCCAGGCAAAATAAGACACAGAAATGTTTACTTTTAAACACAAAGGTATATTTTTTCAAGGATGTTTTGATAAAAATGGAGCATTACTAATACAAATTCTTTTCTACAAAACTCACCCCAATCTTTTGCCAGCAGTATAGATGAAGCTGGCTGACAGACTTTTAAACTCAAAAGTAGCTTCTGGGAGGGGATGAAGTAGATGTAGGCAGGGTCATTAAGAAAGGAGTTTTTAATAATTATCTTAATCTAAGTTACCCATCTCTTTGACATTCTTTGTTGACAGTTTAAATCATAGGGAGTCTAAAGCACAATTACAAATATGTTAAGACTATTAGACCTCATATGTAACCAGCTTGGGTGATGATAGCTGTCAGCTACTTGTTATGGAAGATGCTTCCATCTTGAAAACAACTTGTTATGGAAGATGCTGGACTCCTATTTTTCCCCACTCCAAATTCCATGATCTATTTAGATTAGAATTAAAAATATATAAAACAAGTGAACCATCCTCACCCTGAAATGTTCAGTTCTGATCTTGAAATGATTTGCATACCTCTTGCTAAAATTGTTATTAAGATAAACTTCACTTATTTTGACACTTGAAATGCATTCTCGAATGCTCATATTTGCACCTGATGCTTCTATCTTGGTTGTGCCCAAACATACAACACTGTACCAATCTCTTCCACAGACAAGGAGAAAAGAGAAGATCCTGAAAGAAGCAAAGGGCAACAGCCGAATTGTGGCTGCTACAATGAGACTTAGCAAACTGTTGTTCAAAGCTACGTGCAATTCTTCTGACCTATATTTTGTGATGAGATTACATAGCCACATTTACCACTGATTATGATGAAATCCCACCTTGTTTTGACCCATTTTGCCTTACTGCTATAGACAATCCTCAGTTTATCAAAATGTGCGAAACTGAAAAGAGATGATAGGTGGTTTGCAGCATGAGGCCCTTGTAGAATTTGGAAGCTGTAAGAGCTATATATTCATTTGATTATTTAGACATAGTTTACTAATTTTAAGATAAAAATTTGTTTGGCCAAAGATAATAGGAAGATAAGTGGCCCAATCACCCAGGATAATGATGCTTTTATGGTAGCACTTTTGACATTGTTACATATTCTGTCTCAGCTTTGGCAGGGGAAAAAAATCCTATGCAAGCCCATGGGAACAAATGAGAATTGTGCAAAGAGCAAAAACACTTGAGAAGCCGTTAAACATCCGAATCTGCTTAGCAGTGGTTTCTCTAGGAAATGCATTCAAGGGCATCTTTGGTTGAAAGACTCCATAAGTGTTCATGTATACTTCCTGATGTCATTCCTCTGGAAGTAGACCAGATTTGAAATTATTATTATGCTATACCAGCTGGGCCCCTCAGCTTGATGAAAGAACAAGGATTCTTTAATCTAAGTCAACATATTAAGGTGCCTTGATGCATCACTGAAGATGTATCCTTTTAATTGGGATACAAAGACACTTCTGAAGACAGATGCTCAATAGTTAGACTGGGTACAAAGAATGTTGGCAAACTGGAGTAATTATATAAAAAGAGAACCCCAAAGTTATTTCAATTCAGAGTGGGAAACCCTGAGAAATGGAAACCCTCTGTCCAGCAAACTGGTCCATAGCACAAATCTCACTTCTCTGACCTAAGAAATGCTGTAATTGTTGTAATAAGTAGCTGTTGCATCTGCAAGGACAGAAATTAGGCTGGTTTCTGAGGAATGTGAGCTGCTTGCTGTCTGAGAGACCTGGACATGTCCATTGATGGTGAGCCCACTAGGCTCTGGATGTCCAGGGGCATTGAGATACTGGTCAAACTCATTGCGGTCCATCTCCTCTAGAAGGTCGGCTTGGCTCAATTGATCCAGGCTATCAAAGTTCTGATGCTCCGGGGGAGGTGAGAGCTGGCCAAGATGGTTGTGGAGGCTGGGGACTTGGAGATTAGGAGGGAAAGCTGGGGAATAATAATTTCCTGTGGGAGGTGCTGGGCAACTGGAAGAAGCAGAGTGCATAGAGGAGGCTGACTGAGAGACTGGCATATGACCCAGAGAGTGATTGCACTGGAGAGGGCTGGTGGCATATTCTAGAGAGTAGGTGTCTCCAGACATATGGGGATGGCGTGGGTCTTCAGGACAAGGGGAGGAGAAGAAACTCTGCTCAGGATCTATCACATCCAAGGGTGACATCTCAGGAGGAGTAGGCAGCCCATATGGATAAGTGTCCATCGGAGTACCTGTGTTAGTGCTCTGGACCTCCTGGTATCTTCTAATGTTTGGCATTACTGAGGCAGCTGAGTATTCATCTTTCTCACACACTGCTCGGCTGCACACTCTTTTCTCAGGCATGTGGTCCTGGTCCCTGGAGAGGCTACCCAGCAGGAAGCCTGGCTCCACCCGCTTGCAGATCCGCTTGACCTGCTTCTTTCTTCTTGGCCGATATTTGTAGTTGGGGTAGTCTTGCATGTGTTGAACCCTCAGCCTTTCTGCCTCTTCAACATAAGGCCTTTTCTGAGATGGGGTTAAAGACTTCCAGGACTTGCCTGTAAGGAAAAAGAGATATTTCCCTTTTTATATTATGAAGGATGAATTAAGGCCCTTCCCATCCGTTGGTGAATTAAACTGACATCTATTTGCTGCTCTCCATTCCACCTCTTCATAGTATTTCAATTCAGGCACAGGGACATGTATTCAATAACAAAAACAACATCTTCTGTTGTTCTGCAAAGTGCCATACATATAGCAAATCCTAATATTTTGACTCTTGGGGAATGGTGGAAGAATTGTTCCCTGTGCAGATTCATGCAGGCTCCTTTGGAGTTGGGTGGCTAATAGATTTAATTTAAAAAAAAACCAGGAAATAAGGATTGCATAAAAGTACTCTCCACCGGATCATATCAAATTGAGGCTTGCTCTTATTTCCTCATGTATTTTATACAGGCCCACCTTCTTCCCCCTTGAGATGGCAAAAGTGATGCATATGACTTTGCATTCGACATTTATCTTGCAAAACCCATGGAAAGTGTTGGGTCAAGTGAGAAACTCTTCCAATGTTTGTTGGTGAGACAGCCATTTTTTCCCATAAGCAGAATGGTAGGTATAGTCTTCCTTGATTTAAGACTCCACATTCATTTTATATAAGATTGCCCAAAGAATAAAATCATTGCCAGAGGTCTCACCAACAAACATTGGAAGAGTTTCTCACTTGACCCAACAGTTTCCATGGGTTTTGCAAGATAAATGTCGAATGCAAAGTCATATGCATATTTTTCCTCTCCAAAATAAATGAGCAGTTTACAGAGAGGGGCCTTCTGAACAGCAGCTCTTAAATGAGAAATGTTCAAGACAAGGAATGCACTTAGCACGAGACACAGTTACCTTGTCTGGCACTGGCTTGTTCTTTAAATCCTAGACTTTTAAATTTTACAAACATTACTTGTTGGATTTATTCATTTTTAGTTACTCTGCTCAATTTTTACTATCCTGATTGATTTTTGTATCCAATTCATACTTTTAGACACTATAGCATAGGTAAGTTATTTGTGGACCGCAAGAGTGAGTAAATCTGCTCACTTTAAAAAAAAACCTCCTCCAAATAATTTTACAACCATGAAAAACTTATTTTAGGTATGATAGTTTTACTCTGTTTTCTAGCTCAAGTGTGGGGAAGTAAAGTGCACTTTGTTTTCTGAAGTTATGATCAGAAAGCACTGTATGGGACCCAGCAAGTTACAGATTGTCACTTCTTATTTAAAAAATCAAGTTTTCATGACCAAGTTTTATTTCCTGTAGAAACCTAATTTCATAGGACTGTTGCAGAAATAAAGCAAAAACTGTACATTCTGCATATGGAATTTGTGTCATAAATAATAAAAATACCAGCTCATAGGATTCTGAAACGATATGAAAACCTTATTGGACTGCAAAATCATTTCAGCAGACTTACATTCCGCACAGGCTAATCAGAACACAAAATAAAAAGTCACTGTGCAGGATATCCTCACCACTCAGAATATGCACATGTCTTGCTTCTAAACATGGATGCTCTATTTGGCTATTAACAGCAACAGCCCTAAAAACATCTATCCCACCATAACTATCCCTTTTTAAAAAAGCTACCTAAACTACTGGCCATCACCAAATTTAAGGCTAAGGAATTTCTTTAGTCAATGACACTCTAGATGTCTTTTCTCTTCTATGCATGGAAGCTACCTGTCCGTCGACTATATTGGGCCAGCTTTCCCAAATCTAGACATCTTCCCTGATGTGTGAACTTCAGCACAAAGAATTATCCAGCCTCCACTGCCTTAACTAAGAATTATGGGGAGTCCCCACACATCCGGAGGGCCTCAAGCTTTGGAAAAAGAGGATGAGACATTCCTTGCAAACTTCGAAAAATAAAGTAAGACAATACAATTTTTTGATAAAAATTTAAATCTTTTATGAGAGAAGTAGCATGTTTCTAATATAATTCTTTATCTTCACTTGAGGACAGAATAATCGTATGAAAAGTAAAATATAGAAAATAAACACTGGTGTCCTACTGGCATGTAATACTCCTCATGAAATATAAGGAAATTTTTGTTTCCAGAGTGTTAAAAAGTACCACCAAATCCCAATATATATTTTGGACATTTTCATATGTTTTTGTTTACTAAAACAAAATTTAACTTTGAAAGTATAGTTCACATTTAATGCCAGATATTCCTAGCAACCAAAGTGTTTAGCGCATTGAGCAAAGACCTTCAAAGCAAAGGAATTATGAGCAAAATATAGGCAATGAAACTTTAAAATGAAAAATTTGTAGTATTATATAAAAGTTGTATCAAAAAACTGTGGTTACAAAGTATATACATTATCAAAAATTAATTGGGAGTTTCATTTCCAAGGCTTCCCTACGATACTTTTGTGAAACTGAAGGTTAAAATAGTAATATAAATACTTTGCAATAACAAAAATGTAAAGGAGTTGTCAATCAGTCTGAATCTGAATTGTTCCCTGTCCCCACAAGTCAACATGGAACACCAACAAAATACATGTTAATTTGCCAATAAAAGCCAATTTAATTTGCAAGGGGAAAAAAGTGCACCCTGCTTTGGAAACTAAAGCTATTTTGCTTCTAGTATGTTAGACTGAAGTTTAACTAATGCTCATTTGGGAAAATGCCCAGCTGAATAAAACAGGGTTTGCTTCTGAATGGGAATGTATAACATTGTAAAGTACTTGTGGCATGTAAAACCACAAGGAGACTTTTTCCTCTCTTAACACTGAATGATAGTTTGTGTTGCTTATGTCATCCATATTCTCAAATGCTTCCTTCAAGATAGAGGCGGTCTACACTTTCAACTTGGAAAAATTAAAGTAAATTTATATGTGAGATTGCCAACATCTCATGAGATTATATTTCAAATACCAGTTTGGAGAGCACTCATTGCAAAATTAAGTTTCATATTTTGTTGACCAATTCAAAATATAATAGTCCTAGGCATTCATGTGACAAAAGCAACTATTCACAATTGCTCCGGTCCTGGGGACAGGAAAAAAAAAATCAGGAAAAAAAGTAAAAACCCAGTAAAAACCCAGCACTTTTATCTCTTCTTTGCTGTTACATATTAACACATTTAACTCATCTTGAATCTGCTGCTCAAGGATGCAAATTAGGTAATTTATGAAGATAAGACTGGTATGTATCAATTATCCTCAGCGCAGTATCTCTGCCTATAACTTATTTATTTTAGCTGAGAAAAAACTCAGCATTCTCTGATATTCTTATTGAAGTTATTTCCGTTAGATGTAGACTTTGTTATATACTACTACGTATGAACTTCATCATATGTGGAACACGAATTTACAATCCATGTCCACTTTTTTTAGGAGGATAGGACCCGCAGCAAATTTCAAGAACTCCAGTAGGAAATAGGCGGAATGTGGAAATACGATTCAATGGTATTAATTATAAAATGTTGCATATCAAATCAGAGCTTCATAATGCTGTATTGTAGAATAATACAAATGGAATAGTCAATGATTACAAAGAAAAATATTGGGGTCACTTTGGAGAATTATATGAATGTTTATGATATTCAGCAGCTGTGGGGAATAAAACAAAAATTTTACTTTGGGAAATATTAGGAATTTATTATTTATTTAATTTATTTGCTGCCCGTCTCACCACGAGGAGACTCTGGGCGGCTTTCAGAATGGCACTGAAATCTCCAATACAGAGTGATCCTTTTTGTATATGTCTAGTGTGACCACTTTTGCAACGCTGTGCTGTTTATATCTCCAGGTGCCTTGCCTTGAAAAAAATATGTCAACAAGAAAAGGCAAAACTACACAACTAAAGTTGTACAGGAACCGAATGCCTGTCTCTCCAGAGGAAAGACTTTTTCACATAGAGAGAAAAATGACATACAAGATAGACATGTGATTAAAATCAACCTTCCTAACACTGGGGATAATATGTGTCTCACTTAACACGGAAAAATAACCTTTACAATATTTTGCAATAAAAAAATATTTTAAAATTTAGAAGTCCCCCAAGCACTCCGCACCGCCACCATATCACACTATACATACTCATACTAACTTGAAAAGAAATCCCGTCAGTATTAATTAGGTTTCTTTCCAAGTGAAGATGGTTAAGTTCAGGTAGCACAAACATAAGATAGTGGATTGGAAATTGCTGTAAAATCTCCATTTAAAAGGATGAAAGGATTTTGAATGAACCTAGTCCAGCTTTTAGAAATGCCAGGAGATGCAGCACTCTATTTCTACGTTCCTATTGCAGAGAAAGTCTTAGTGAATTCACTGAGGTATTCCTACGATATGTAGCATCCCAGAGAATGCCATCACTGAAAGTCTGATCAGAAAGATGACTTACTGAATTTAGTGAGGTTTATTCCTTGGCAAATGGGCATGACATTATAGTTTAGAAAGCATTATAAATGGGTGTTGAAATAAAAGTATTCATGTAATGATAAAAATCCCTGCTCCCTAAGTTTAAATCAGTTCCATGATGTTACTGAATTGCTTCGTGGTTAACAAATTATATTTGGTAACTTTGTGTTGGTTTTGAAAAATAATGATTTTTTTTTTACCAAAATATTTTTGCACTTTCAATTTTGATGCCTTTGACGCTGCTTGCAAGATTAAAAATTAAAAAGTGCTGCCTAACTCCATAACAAATATTTTGACATGCACTCCACAAAGATTTAAAAGAATATAAAGATTCACATTATTTATTTTCATTATTTTTTTCCAGATTAGTAGAGTGTTATTAGTGTAGCAAATAAGGCATCCAAATCAAAAGGTTAAAATATAATTTGATTTGATAATATAATTTGATTTAAAAAATACATATACATCAAATTATACCTTAAAACTTCTGGGAAAAAATAGCTGCAATGTAGGATTTAAAAATAGGTAAAAGAAAATACATTTCTCTGTATTTGCCTGAAAAACTTATATTATCCTTACTTTCTTTACTACCATGTTAGAAAACTTTTCAAAATTCTTAGAACTATCTTGAACACACAGAAGAAATATTTTTTAAATTTGCACTTCTGTAATTCATCAGATTTGCAATACATTTTCGAATTGATTTGCTTTCCCTAAAGAATGAGTTCTGTGGTAATTCAAATAATACCAACGGCAGCAATAATATGAAACTTGACATTATTTTAGAAAAGTTAGCATCTTTTAAATTTAGATACCCAAATACATCCTCAAGAAGCAATTAATAGAAAAACCTAATTTTCAAAGGCACTTTTTTAAAAAGTCACTGCTTCAGAATTTTTTCGGCTACAAATAATTATGTAAAAGAATTTCAGCTAAGGGTGCTTTAAGTTTAAATATCCTAGATCCAATTCTCCGAGAAGAGAACTGACGGGGGGGAAAAACCCCTGTTGCGTTGCAACCCAACTAGAGACGAATAATTCTAAGGTTACGCTTTCTGAAGACATGACATTTCTTCCCTCTTAAATCTCTTCCAACACTAGAGCGAAATGCAGAAGATTTCACCCAGTAACTGCAGGGGAAGAATTGTAGGCGCCGCACCGCTCCCCAAATTCACGGAGGAGGTAGAAGGGTTCGGCTCTACCCGTAATTTTGTTTTTCACTGGCCAACCGCAAACCGAAACATCCCGGTCCGAGGTCATTCGGTGCTCGGCACAGCGAGCGACTTCGAAAGCAGGAGGGGCGCAAAAGGCGCCGAAGTCCCGCTCCGCTCCCTCCGGCGGGCTCAGCTCACCCAGCATCTTGCTCAGCTCGGCGTTGTGCAGGTCCGGGTTCTGGACGGCCAGGCGCTTCCTCTCGTCCTTGGCCCACACCATGAAAGCGTTCATGGGGCGTCGGATGCGGCTCTCGGGGTTGCCCTTCTCGGTCCGGGGCACCGCGGAGGCTGAGGTGCCGCTGCCCCCGTCGGGCAACTCCAGAGCGGAGCAGTCCAGCCTCTCCGCCCACGCGAAGGAACCCAGCAGCGAAGCCATGCCGTCGAGGCGCGCGGGACTCGAGCCGGCGCCCCCCTCGCCGACCACGCACCGCCCGCCGCGCGGACCCGCAGCCTCGCCCCGCCGCCCCAGCAAGCGCCTTTCCCGCGGCCTCGCTCTATTTATGAGCTTCGATGAGCTTCCTCCGGGGCCGTCTGGGAAGCGGCCGGCCCCGCCTTGAGCGCGCCCTCCGTCCCTCCCTCGCCTCTTGCCGGAGGGTGAGGCGCAGGTCGCGGGGAAGGCGAACGAGAGGCGCGGGCAGAGCAAGCGGGCCGCCTTCCCTTCGCTCCGAGTACAGGTGTAAGCGGAAAACAGGGCCTCTGAGCAAGCGCCGAGTGCTGCCTGCCTTCAAAGGCAAGGCTCGTCTTACGATCCGTGATAGACGCCGGGCGACACCGTCCCCGGGCAGTTGCCACGCACGGTAGCAGCCTTCCTTCCCACTCCCCACCTTGCAGCTTGGCGCCCTCCGGATATAAAGAGCGAGGGACAGTTTGGCCTCTCTTTTAATAGAAGTGAATCCCAGGGGGCTGTTACCGGTTCCCAGGTACTCACACCTACAGCATCCCTTCATTAGAAAGAACCACACATGCTCTTGTTTTAAGATGTTGATAATGGTGATATAACCACCCACGAAAGATGGGCAGAAGGAACTACAGAACGCAACCCCTGAAGAAAATACTGCAAAATCCCGGTGTTTCCTCTATTTCCACCTACACCAGAATCACTAAATTTCTCTGATTCAGCAACATGTCTCAACTCCCAGACCTGAGAAAGGCATATATACAAAAAAAAATTCCATCACTTTCTCTTAGCTTATTCATTCTTATTCCAGGTGAGCTTGCCCATGCCACTGTGCACCTACTCATTTTCTGGGTTTACAGAATACATTGACAAATAAAATAGGGCTGGGTTAGGGTTCAAAAACTTTCTTTGCTGTCATCCTGTTGTTATCCAGATTTCTGCAGCTCAGAGCTGGTAAGCTGTTCCTTAAATTAACCAGAGTTGGATTTACACAACATGCAAGCCACAAAAAATAGAACGAAGTCCAACATCAACCAAATATAGCATACTGTATGGAAAAAAGCATTAGGTAGTTATCTAGTTATGCATGTTGCAAAAATGTTGAATTTGAGTTTATGAAAACAAAATAGAAGTAGGAGATGGGAAATACAGTCCTTACCTTCCTCCCTGTTATTTCTTTGGATTGTATATTCCTGTGAATAGAATATGTTTGGTCACATTGATATAAGTATATCCATCTACAAGGCTCTCCCCTTAGGAATACATGAAGCTAAATACAGGTGGTCCTGAAGTCACAACCACAATTGAGCCAAAATTCATGTTGCTAAGTAAAACATTTGTTAACTGTCCCATGTTACGACTTTTCCTGCCATAGTTGTTAAGTGAATCATTGCATTTGTTAAGTTAGAAACACGGTTGTTAAGTGAATCTGGGTTCCCTATTGACTTTGCTTGTCAGAAGGTCGCAAAAGGTGATCACATGACCCCGGGACACTGGAACCGTCATAAATATGAATCATTTGCCAATCATTGAATTTTGATCAGGTGACCATGGGGATGCTGCAACAGTCGTATGTGTGAAAAAAGGTCATAAGTCAGTTTTTTCAGTGCCGTTGTAACTTTGAACGGTCACTAAATGAACTGTTGCAAGTCGAGGACTACCTGTAACTTGCTCACTTCAAGCCATTGATATGTATAGCTCAGTATATATATAGCTTGGCTATAGCACCATAGAAATCTTTTGAAGTCCTTCCAGACAATCGCAAGGAACGACCCTGAGACATGATTCTTTCCCAAATACAGTTTAAGCATCAAGTTTAAACATAAAACTCTGTATGGTTTACATGTCAAATATTCTTTCCAAACTGAAGCAAATTATTGTAATAATACAATATAATTCAAGATGCACACATTAATTCCTTGTTGGTGTGGGCTATTGCTATTAGTGAGTTAAGATCTATCTTAAAATGATTTGGCTTTATTGGACAAATTGCCACAAGTTCCCGGTTTGTGTGTCTTCTGGGCACACAGAATTAATACTATCATGATGTTGTAAATATGCAGGTCTTGGAGGTAGTTCCATACTTCTTGCAAACCCTCAAAATGGATAAATTTTATAATAGGTTAAATATACAGTATATTGTGTGAATACAGCTCATATTATTTGTTCAGTCCTTTCTAGTTCTGGTGTCGTTGACAGATAACAGGCAAAGAATGTAGAATGTAGGATGGTTTCTGTTGACTGCTACTGTCTTGGCAAAAGCTTTTCCTATCGTTCTCATTTAACTTTTAACATGTAGGATCAAAATTGTCATAGGTTATGATGATAGGTACAGTATTTGATTCACAAATGTTCTCTTTCGAATCAGAAAGTTCGGTCAACCTTCCCTCTCCATTCCCCCCTTCTAAATTTAGATTTCTTTGTGAGAGAAGCTGGCACAGGGCAGGAGAATGTCCTGCTCTTCACTGGAAGTTGGTTGCCAACCACAGAGGTCCAGTGTAGCTCTTGGATATTTAAATTTTCCCCCAAACTGGACATTTAAGTTTGCCATTCAATGTGGGCTGCAATCTCCAACTGGTTGATAGGGCATGCTGAGATTGAGGAGGGCATTAACTGTTTACTTTGGCAACTTCAAGCCTCTGTTATAACCAAGAAATTCAAATCTAGAAAACAACTATTTCCTTTAATTAGAAATAACTTTTGGATGATTTAGTCACATAAACAGCTCCCTCAACTTCTTTGAAGACCATTAAAGGATGAGAGCTTGATACTAAAATTAGTGTTTTTTTTCCATCAATTAAAACTCCTTTGACCAGTGGCCAGCTCTGATTTTTAGCCTAAAAGGCTTAATTATGCTAAACGTAAATGTAAGGCCAGGTGCTTCCCCCTTCTTCCTTGTTGATGACTCTGCTGTGACCAATAAGTACAAAAGCTGCAATGTTTACAGGTCTTATATTTCCTTACTCGGACATTACATTGAATGGGGGTGGGGGTAGTAGTTCATAGGATTTTATATTGTTTACTAGGAGTGTACTATATAGACACACAGACAGGAATGGGGGAGAGAGAGTTTCAACCATGAAGTTCAAGAAATGAAGTGCAGTAATTTATTTTTTAAAAAATAAATAATTGGAAAGAAAAGTAAAATAGTTACCCTGGATTTCAGCTTGAGTGCCACTGACTTACACATAAACATCTGCCTATGTCTTGGAATATTATACAAGTGGTTGTTGACCCTCCCTGGTCTAGCCCATAGCACTAATATTTCAAAGGAATGTCCCATCCAAGAACCATCCAGACCTTCTCAACCTTGGAAACTGTATGGAAGATATATGGACTTCATTCCTCATGCTGGCTGGATAATTCTGGGAGTTCAATCCATGTATTTTTAAATCAGGGGTAGTCAACATTGGCTCTTTTATGACTCGTGGACCTCAACTCCCAGTATTCCTGAGCCAGCCATATTGGCTCAGGAATTCTGGGAGTTGAAGTCCACACGTCATAAAAGAGCCAAGGTTCCCCACCCCTGCACTAAAAGAACCAAGTTTAGCCAGATTTTGCCACCTGCTGAGGCAAATGAATAACAGAATACCAGACTTGGAAGAGACTTTAAAGGTCTTCTAGTTCAATCTCCCTGTTCAAGCAGGAAACCCTATATCAGTGGTGGCGAACCTATGGCATGGGTGCCAAAGGCGGCACTCGGAGTCCTCTCTGTGGGCACACGTGCCATTGCCCCAGCCTTGCCTCCCCCCATGACACCCTCACCAGAGCCTTCCTGGAGAAGGGTTGCCCCCGAGCATAGCCCATGCGGAGCAGTGCAGTCAAGGACATAGCAGCCAGGCAGCGTAGACAAGACTCTGCCCTCACGCCCCATCGCGCACAGTTGACGCTGTGGGGCATGGGCAGAGGGTGTGGCTGCCATGGCGCTGCTGGGCGATCTGCAGCAGGCCCTGGAGGCGGTGAGTGGCCCTGCGGGCAGGCAGGGTGGAGATGGAGCAGGGGTGGAGCAAGGGGTGGAGCGGGGCCGGGGCCAGTTTTTGGGCACTCGGTTTCTAAAAGGTTCGTCATCACTGCCCTATATCATTTCAAACTGTTGTCCAATCTCTTCTTTAAAACCTCCAGTGTTGGAGCATCCACAACTTCTGGAGGCATGTTGTTCCACTGATTCCACTTCTAACTGTCAGGAAGGCCTCAGGAACGAGTTCTGTTCAAAGATTGTGCCAGTAGAGCAGGGGTCTTCAAACTTGGCCCTTTTATGACTTGTGGACTTCAACTCCCAAAATTCCTCAGCCAGCAGTAGAGTATGAGGTACATTAGATGAAGAGAATTTCTTAGACTCTATAGATTTTTCTCAGCTGCCTATTAAATAGATTAAGATTTATTCACTAAGAGCTACAGAACTCTGCTTACTCATATTAATCGCCTTTCAGAGAAATAAACTATGTTAGTTTGGATACAGAAATAATTGTAATGAAGTATAAAAAAGCTTCTGGCACCTGGCCACATAGTAAGGTACAAAAAAGCAGAAAATGTAGTCTAAGCCAGTTTTAGGTTACCTCATTGAAAAAGGCCCAATCTGCTAATCTTTTAGGAAGCATAGCATAGCTCTTGATTTATATTAGGTTGTTATTACTATATGGCCTTTGCTCATAATCTAAGCTGATGTAGCAGTCAAAGAGAGGGAGAATCTAAAAGAAGCAAAATAAGAAACCAAGGTATGTACTTCCGTAAACTCTTTGGGTCCGGGAGCTTGAACTTTATTGGCTGCTATGTAAGTTCTCCCCTTGTAAAAGTTGTTTTGTTCTAAGAAATATGGAAGATCCTCTGTTATGCAAGACTGGATATCTAATTTACATTTTTGAAAGAAAGCTACATCAAATAAGCTTGGGACTAAATTGGGGGAAAGAAAAGATCTGAAGCATTCATAGATCAGAGCAGAATAAAGCATACTGTACCGGACATACAAAAGATGATCTCCCTATCTTTTCCAAAAGAAGCATCAAGTTTATAACCCTCCTATTCATACTGAATTTATTTTGTTGGCCTGGTACTTTATTTTCTATTTAGGATTGGACCTCTCTTTGTTAAAATTATTATACTTTGCATTTGTTTATGTTGGTGATCCAAAAAGAGACCAACTGAAGTAGAAAAAGAGCAGGAAAAAATAGTGTATCTACATTTGTCTATACTCATCCATTTCATTTAATAACACTTTTTATCCCTAGTTTTATTTTTTCCTTTGGAATACCATAAAGGAAAAAGAAATCCACAGGCAATAAAATAGCCAACAATGAGTTAGTAATTCAGGTCAAAAAGGATTAACAGGCAATGATCCACTATTTCTTCTGGAAAAATTCATAAATGCTTATCATATATTGCTGATTTAATTTTCCTTTATACACCACCCAGAGTTACACCGAGTTGAGAAACCATATAAATTATTTAAATAAACTATACCATGTTCTTTTGAAGTGCGTCAAGAAAACATAAGGTATATGGATATTGCATGAATTAACCACTACATCTTCTCCATTCCCCCCAAAAATCTCTGCCATAGGATTTGTGGACATGCATCCATAGAAGTACAACTAGAGCAGATCATGAGAAGATTCAGGATTTCCTGAAAGAATTTCCAACCAACCAACACCCCTCAATGAATTGCAATGAATCTTCCAAAAGGTGAAAATATTATGAGGGGAGGGGGAACAAAGACAACAAATATTCATATGGTCCCCCCTCTGATTGTTGAAAATTGGGCTTTTTCACCACTTCTTGGTTAAGGTGGGTGGCAAGTCTTTTATCGGGTAGGTTTTTTAAATTAATTTGAATATTTCCTCTTCTTGACACACATAATTTTTCTATTACCTTTACTGTTTTTTTTAAATGTTGTATGCTTATGGAGTTGCAAGTTGTATGCTTATGGAGTTGAAATAAGTAAACAAATAAGGACGATGTCTGATTTATAAAATATTGTATATTTATTTGGGTAAATGTGGAAATCTAAGTATATTTCACTGAAGTTAAACATGCAGATTTATATTAGCTGGAATATTTCTTCTTCAGCTTTATTCATTCAACATCTTCAGTTACATCCCAGTCTACTATTTTTTGCTCTTTTTCCTTCTCTTTGATTTTTGCTCTCCTAAATCATTATCATCCTTAGATATGTCAAAGGAACATTGTCCTGCCTTTTGAGAACCACTTTGAGATTCATTATAAATAAGACCACTGCTAGTTTCCCGATGCTTAGATTTCTTTTTCTTTTTCTTCTTTTGGGTGTCCATTTCATCTTTGCTTGAACCTAGTATCCCAGTGCAGATAATTTTTGGTTCTCCAGCCTCATCCTGTGCATGTTTGTGTCTTTTTTTCTTCTTTGTCTGGGATTCCAAACACTCCAACTTCTCAGCCATCACTAGAGGAGAATTAGCTGACTCTAGTGTGATGTGATGTTGAGTTTTCTTCAGTTTTGTCATGCACATGGCAAAATATTCCTGCACGGTAAGAGTGCTGGTTACAGTATTGCTCTTATCTACTTGGTCAGATGGCACAATTGCTTCTTTTGAATCTTCCACTGGAGAGCCTGTGCCAGCAGCAGCAACCTGAGAATGAAAGAAGAGGGGGTAGAAATCAGGGGAGTAAACTGAGTAAAGTGCTTTAAAAAAAAGTATAAACTCTCTGATACTGGATTAGACAGGGTTTTCAAAAGATCCAATACAACTTCATCCTATATTTTAAGATGGAATGCATGTATCTCAGCCCAAACCTGCTTTATTTCCTGAAACAAGACAGTCCTGCTTAGCTAAGCTCAGCACATGTCAAATCAGATGAAACCCAAAATCCATGCATGATGTACAGAAAGGACTTGTCAAATGTTCTACTTTTGCTGCTTATTTGGGAAGGCAAAATCTAAGGGGTTTGTTGAAGACCCAGTTGGCAGACGAATGTCTTTTTAAGCAACAAGTAATACACCCAATAAGAATGGGATTGCCTTTTATTTCACAGAGCAAACTCAGTAAAAATAAACATAGTAATCCTGTAAAGACAGACCAACTCAAGAGCTGAAATACTCAACACTGCAAATCACTTAAAAAAATTCTTAAGGAGAATTTACTCAGAGATTTTTAAGTACCCCAAGAATCACTAATGGAATTTGAAGAGCAACATTATTTTTGTTCCAGTGGACTTGGTCCTTGGAGTGCATATTCATCAGGAAGTTGCCTTTTCATGCAACTCCTGATCAGGCAGATGTCCACAGTCTCCCTTAACTGAATCACAATTAAATACACTTGAAAGGCGCCAGTGGTGTACCTGAAGGGCAGATTATAGTGTGCCATAAGATGTGAATTTTAAATAATTCAACATTTTAATGAACTTCAGAATGCAATAGTATAAATCACATCCAACAGAGGAAGTAATTGATTTCATATACACTATATGGAATTCCCAGTATGACATGGGCTTGAAAACATTTTACTTCAAATAGTTGGATATCCTGTATTATTGTCTCATATTACCCCGAAGAGAGTGATAGGTAAGTATGTGTGAATGAGGATGTGCCTCTTCAGCCATTATCCAAAATGAAGGGTATCTCTCTCACATCTTTCACAATATGAGAGATCATTCTGGGTATACTGCAGGAAGACATGTTTTCTCTGCATTTGGTATCATGTGTTCTCATTTCACTGGAAAATGGAATCACAGTTTCCCCTAACATCCTACAATTGCCCTGATATATCAATCCATACTAGAATTACATATCCTAATTTACAACAATAATTGAGAAAATGCAACTGGAGACTGATTACTGTGGTAATATGAATATTCTTGGTATATAGATCAAAGATCTCATCTTATGATGCCTTGTTCAGTCTTAAGTTCCAGCTGGTTTTAGGTTGGGATGCTGTGAATTCCTATTGCACTGTCATAAACACTATACATCACCTTTTCCCTAAAAATCAAATCAAAACAATATATACATATGTGTGAAGAGACAATTGTCTTTTTCTACATCTCTTTTCTATGGCAGGCCTAACTATGCCAAAATGAAGATTATTTGGAACTTAAAGCTCATTTTTGCCACTTTCTACATCCCCATTCACTATGGAACAGAAAGAAGAGATCTCAATCTTCTCAAAGAAGACATTGGCTACTAACAGAGCAAGGTTGTCCTACTGTGGCTCCTTCAGAAAAGAACTTGTGCCTTACAAAGTTTTGTCTAGCCTCTTCCTCATTCTTTGTGACAAACAAAAACTTTTTTAAAAGAAAAAAACAAAAAAACATCTTCCAATACTTTGTTTTGCTGTAGTTTTCATCTTGTGAACTTAAACAACGTGCCATTTAAAAGTTGTCAACCATGCATGACACAACCAAAATTAAGTACTACCTAGTTTCAGTAGGAAAGAATTATTTGTTTGGGTTGTTCTTGAAATAAAAAAAATAACTTTTTAATAAAAGCATGAGTGATATCTGTGGGAGTAAGCCTCCTTGATTTCTATCTTTCTCTAATATATTTATGCAAAGAAGAAACATCAATTTGGAGTGTATCTATTGGATAAAACATAGGTGTGCAGGCAGGTGCAAAAATATTTAATTCTTCCTTTCTTTTTTCATTATATTCTGACTACAGAAAAAATTCATCAATGGCTGTCACCAAAGTTTGCTTCACCTGAGTAAAAGAACCTTTAGTATTTCATATATTAAAATGTTTTTTTTCTCAAAAAATAGCATTGTGAGTTCCATCATAATTGAGCATAAGGTGAAAGGTACAAAGACAAAAATATTAAGCTAGAAGCACAAAATATTAAATCAGTTCTAAGTCAGCAACCAGGCACACGTACTGTTGCCTAAAATGGAGAAGTTCAGAGAAACCCATGATGCCTAAAGACAAGAACGCAGGCTAAACCACTCCTGTACTGACAGGAATTTTAATAACCACGGGCCACTGAACACAAAGTTAGCAGGGCATGGAGACAGGTAAAGGCAGTGTCAGCCCCAAAGCAAACTCACACACCGCATTTCGGGGACACTGATGGAGAACCGTTAATCATTTGGAAAAGGTAGGTGCCAGGAACACTCCCAACTGCTTCGCATGACCAACTTTCTCTTTGGAACCCTGGAAACCAGGGAAAAACAATGATGGTGATCTGAACAGTGCTGTCAGATTAAATCAGCTGCTATTTACATCAGGAAAAATGTACTAATTGGAGTCTGCCACCAAGAGGTGAGCGAAAAGGAGGAGTGGCCCCTTATCCATTGAGATGTTCCTTCTCTATCCTCAAATCTTGCTATGGCTTCTGTGTTCATTCTTGACACCAGATCATTAAAATCTGGGGCCTTTTTTGCCTGGTTGCTACCCAGAGGCAGCAGCTCAGAAATGTTATCTCCAATCCAGTTTTTTGGGTGCCCAAATGGCAAGAAGAAATCCTATGTGCTTTCTTAAGACATACACTATGGTAGATTCTGAAGAGCAGGCAGCTACAAGAAGCAGGGAACATCTGTTGAATCTGAAATGACCAAGTGGGTTCATAAAAGTTATAGCTGATAATGAAATGATAGATTTGCATGGAGGTATGGAGAACTGTTTCAGAGAAGATGTGAAAGGATGAGGAGACTCAAGTTCCTGATGAAAAATAGTAAGCCCTTTTTAGATAAGCAACAGCTTCCTTTTATGTGGATGCTAAAGAACGTCCTTGTAAGTTTTTAGCATCAGCTTTGTAGAAAGACACAAAAAGTCTATAAAGCCTACTACTGGGTGCATAACTTCATTAACTTGTAAAGCTATTCCTTGATATTATCAAATAATTTAGTTTGAAATATAAAATGTGCAATTAGTTGGAATGCTTTTAAATAGTAATTCAATTAGCCATTATATAAAAAACAGAGTTCCTTTCCTATGTTAATGACTCAGTATGATAAACTATGGTATTAAAACTGAATAGAACTTCATGCTTTTATATACTGGTTTCCCTTTCATTTAAGTAATAGGAAAATGGACTCACTATGATTGTTGAACTGATATTATAATATTTTTGGAAATGATTGCATGTTTTTTTCAGTTTCAAATATTTCTCTGAATATATACTGTATGCACCATAAAAACTAAACATTCCTCAATACAAATAGCAGACTATAATGAACACAATCCTATGAAAATGAAGCATTTATTCGGCCCCTATATTAGATGAAAATTTGAACTGTACATCCCCTATAAAGGTAGTCCTTGATTTACGACCGCAATTGAGCCCAACATTTCTGATGCTAAGCAAGACAGTTGTTAAGTGATTTTTTCCCCATTTTATGACATTTCTTGCCACAGTTGTTAAGTGAATCACTGCAGTTGTTAAATTAGTAACATGGTTGTTAAGTGAATCTGGCTTCCCCATTGACTTTGCTTGTCAGAAGGTCGCAAAAGGGGATCACATGACCCTGGGACACTACAACTATCATAAATATAAGTCAGTTGCCAAGTGTCTGAATTTTGATCACGTGACCATGGGGATGTTGCAACTGTCATAAGTGTGAAAAACGGTCATAAGTCGCTTCTTTCAGTGACTTGTTATAACTTCAAACAGTCACTAAATGAACTGTTGTAAGTCGAGGATTACCTACATTAAGAGGAATTAAAGATGACTAAAACATCTTTAAACAATCATTAATAATATGTGGATACTTCAGCTATTCCATGTGATGGAGTAGGTGGCAGAACAGATTTCAAAACTTAAGATTTTTTTTAAATTCATATCCAGCTATAAGTGCGATATCCCACAATGTAAATTTATAAAATATTCAGGTTTTTTGGGAACTGTATTTAAAAGAGGTCCAACCAGAAAAAGTAAAAGTAAAAGCAAGATGTTATGCTTTACAGTAGAAATAGGAACTTGTTACCTATAATCTAGAAATCAGATTCCAATTCCCCATGATCAGAAGTGGTAGAAACTGCAATGCAACAATAGCTAAATTGCCCCAGATGCCTCCACTCATCCTTTGCAAAAGGATGTCAGCTGACAGAAGCAAATAAGAAATGCATCTGATAGGACTTGACTTCAAAATAAGCAAGATATGGTACTTCCCAAAGCTCTGTAGCTAAGACTAATTCAATTAAAAAATGTTTGTGAAAATAATAGATGGGGAAAAGAACAAAACCCTATTAAAATAAGGTGAAGAGAATAAAATTAGGGGGGAAATGCCCTAATAATCCATGTTAAGATAGCCATGGCTTGTGGGATGAGAGTAGAGTACAAAAGTAGATTGTCAAGATAAAATGGCTTGGAAAAAATGATGTCAGTATGAGCTTGGAAAAACCCTGAAGACGGAAAAGGATTCCAGCAGAGATTATAGGAGGAAGCTGTGTCAACAAGCAAAAGGGCTGGGCTTCTCAGAGATGAGGAAACGATGCTGCTTTTGAAATTGGGAATAATTGGCACTTACAGGAATTTTCATTTGTTATGTTCAAGAGTTGGAATAGGGAAATAATAATATAATTTAGTGATGGGGGAATAATCCTTTTTTTTCAACTTGTATGTCGAATAAGCTTTTTTTTAAAAAAATGTTCATTGCAGAATTAACATCACATTTTGTAGGTGGGAAAGGGTGTAATTAA